GTGGGGATTTGAACCCTGCTCTTCCAGGGGCGGATTGTAACTTGGTTCTCACAATTGTTCCAGCAGCGTCTCTAGGGACTCAGCTACATTAGTCAAAAAACAGTGTTTTGAATGGGTTATAAACATGCAATACCAGATGGCGCTGGAGAGTAAAAAAATATCCACGCAATTTTCCATAGTGTTTTCCCCCTTTTGTTATAATGATTTCATTTCTGACTTATTTATAGTGTGATCCCCCCACCCGGTGTGTAGATCCACCCTAGGTTATAAAAACCTAAGAGCCCTTCTGGATCAGGCCAATGGCCCATCTAGTCCATCACCCTGTTCTCACAGTGGCCAACCAGGTGGCTATGGGAACATTGGCGTAACCAGGATTTATGGGGGGTTTTTTTGAGGGGGGGAGGCAGGACACCCACCTGTCATCATCCTCTGTCTGGCTCTGTCTAGCAGATTTGGAACTTAATGTCTCAACAGTAGCTTTTTTTGAATTACTTTCTTTTAAACCACAGTGCTCTTCAGTCATTTGAAAACTAGGAAGTTAAATTAAAAAAATTAACACCAGCATACAAGCCGACTCATAGGGTCCGAAGAGTCTTCCCCCCCTAAAAAAATATATTTGAGGCCCCCCTCAATTGATAGGCATTGCCATTCAAATGGTGTGTGTGCACCAGGTGATCGATTATGGTGCTTGGGGCTTTCCTGCCCCGCCCCCCAATATTTTATTTTATTTTGGCAACCCTGAACACCAGGGTTTTATGTAGTAATTGAATATATTTTGCAAAATTACAAAGAACGCGCCTTTTATTCGTCTTGTTTTTTAAAAATCTGAACCAAAACAAGTTTTCTTGGATTTGCTGAAAACCTCAAATTCCTCCTTTTCTTCCAATGCAGTTTTTCTGTGCGCAGTCAGTAAGCAGAGCCCATGGATAGCCCACTGAGCATTTCAAATATTCTGATTATTTCTACTTTTAGTTAAGTATTTTTTATTTATTTACTTGATTTGGGGGAGGGGGTTGTCCCCCCCCTTGTCCCCCTGGCTACGCCTATGTATGCAAAGCCCACAAGCAGGACATGAGAACAAGAACATTATCTCGGCTCGTGATTCCCAGCAACTGGGGACAATATTTGCTGCTTCTCTTTGGGATTAATTGTAGCCGCAATAAGACTCCCCCCTCTGAGTTTAATGAACTAACATTGCAGCAGGAATGTGGGCAGACCTCTCAAGCGTATCTCCATTAGCCACCAGGGATCCTTCTCGCACTTATTCTCACTGTGACAAGGCACATGGCGAGTATTCAAATCTGGATGAATTGCTTTGGAATAACCAACACCATACAGTTCTGGTTTCACAATCGCAAACTACATTGCTGTTTTAGTCAAGAGCAGCCCCTGAACCCGGGAAACCTGGGGGCGAAGGCGGAAAGAATAATAGAATCCTAGAATCATAGTTAGAAGGGACCTCGAGGCCTAAGATTAAAAAAGCGGTGATTTGCCCAAAAATTTGCTCTGATCACAACCCAGTAACGATTGAAATGATATCAACGCCAATTGGAGCTTTTAGATGGAGGATGAATGACACCTTATTTAGGAATGAGGAAATTATCAAAAAGGCTCAGAAGAATTTGAGAGATTATTTTGAGATAAATTTGAATACCATGACAGAAAAAAGAGTGATTTGGGATGCCAGCAAAGCGGTGATGAGAGGATTTTTGATACAACAAAACGCAATTAGAAAAAGATATCAAAATGAGAAGAGAGAAAAAATCTTGGAGAAAATTAAGGATGGAGAAAAAAGACTGAGGGCGAAACCGAACTCACAGGAGATTCTAAAAGAGATAAAGCTATACCAAGTACAATATATGAAATTGATGAACCAGGAGATAGAATGGAAGGTCAAACAGATGAAACAAAAGACCTTCGAATCGGCAAATAAATGTGGGAAATTACTGGCCTGGCAAATGAAAAAAGACAAAAGCTGAATACGATTACGAACTTGGTAGTAGAAGGGAAGAACATACAGAATCCTGGAGAGATTCGGAAGTGCTTTCAGAACTATTTTAAACAGTTATATACGCAGGAGACTCAGAAAGAATTAGACATTGATCGATTTTTGAAAAATAATGGATTACAAAAAGTATCTCAAGAGAGTAAATCAATATTAAATTCTACAATATCTGATCAAGAGGTGGAAGGAGCCATTCAGAATATGAAATTGGGCAAATCTCCAGGACCGGATGGACTAACTGCAAAGTACTACAAAACTTTGAAAGAATGGTTATTGCAACCGCTGAAAGAACTTTGCAATGAAATACTACGGGGAGGAAAAGCACCCGAGTCGTGGAAAGAAGCATACATTACACTTATACCAAAAACAGAAGTGGAGAAGACACAGTTGAAGAACTACCGTCCCATATCCCTACTTAATGTGGATTACAAAATTTTTTCTGTAATTATGGGGAAAAGATTAAAAATGTATTGGTAAAAGAGATTCATAAAGACCAGGCGGGCTTTCTCCTGGGAGACATCTGTCAGATAATACTAGGAATATTATCAATATTTTGGAAAAATTGCAAGTTAATATCAATACTAAAGCTGTCTTAATATTTGTAGATGCAGAGAAAGCGTTTGACAATATTTCTTGGAGTTTTATGAAGAAAAATTTGCAGGGGATGGGGGTAGGCCAAAGTTTTGAAAATGGTATAGGTGCAATCTATTCGGAACAAAAAGCTAAGCTTATTGTGAATAATGTAGTTACAGAAGAATTTAAGATAGAGAAAGGAACAAGACAGGGTTGCCCAATCTCCCCATTGCTTTTTATATCGGTCCTGGAGGTTTTGCTCAATATGATTAGAAAAGACCAATTGGTTAAAGGTATACAACTCGGAGCTAAACAGTACAAATTGAAAGCTTTCACTGATGATTTAGTTTTGACATTACAGGAGCCAGAAGCTAGCACAAAAAGAGTATTACAATTAATCCAAGAATTTGGTCAAGTAGCAGGTTTCAAATTAAACAAGACGAAAACTAAGGTATTAGAGAAAACCTTACAGAGATTGAGAAGGAGAGGTTTCAGAAAGAGACAGGATTAACAATAGTTAATAAAGTGAAATATCTAGGGGTGAATATGACTGCCAAAAATGTGAATCTGTTTAAAGATAATTATGAAAAATGTTGGTCAGAAGTGAAGAAGGATTTAGAAATATGGTCAAAATTGAAGTTATCATTGTTGGGCCGAATTGCTGCGATAAAGATGAATGTATTGCCTAGAATGTTGTTTTTGTTTCAAACATTGCAAATTGTGGACAAAATGGACTGTTTCAAGAGGTGGCAAAGAGATATTTCCAAATTTATCTGGCAGGGCAAAAGCCTAGAATAAAATTTAAGATATTAACAGATGCGAAGGAAAGAGGGGATTTGCCCTGCCAGATCTTAAACTTTACTATGAATCAGCCGCTTTTTGTTGGCTGAAAGATTGGCTACTTCTTGAAAATGTGGACATTTTAGATCTAGAAGGTTTTGATAATGTGTTTGGATGGCATGCATATTTATGGTATGACAAAGTTAAAGCGCATAAGGCCTTTAAGAATCATATTGTCAGGAAAGCATTGTTTAATGTTTGGGTGAGATATAAGGATTTGTTGGAAAGTAAAACACCAAGGTGGCTGTCACCAATGGAGGCAAAGGCATTGAAAAAAACTAATATGGAGACAAACTGGCCAAAATATTGTGAAATTTTAGAACAAGTTGGAGATAAATTAAAATTGCAGAGTTTTGACAAATTAAAAACTAAAGTTCGAGATTGGCTTCACTATTATCAAATAAGGGAGGTTTTTAACCTAGATAAAAGATTGGTTTCCAGGAGGAAAAATCTAAACTGGAAACGGAATTGTTAGAACCTAAAACTAAAAATCTGTCAAGAATGTATAATCTGCTGTTGAAATGGAATACACAGGATGAAATGGTTAAGTCTGCTATGATTAAATGGGCACAAGATGTTGGGCATAATATTATGTTTGCTGACTGGGAACGGTTATGGACCACAGGTATGAAGTTTACGGCTTGCAATGTATTAAGAGAAAATATAATGAAAATGATCTATAGGTGGTACTTAACCCCAGTCAAGCTAGCCAAAATCTATCATTTGCCCGATAATAAATGTTGGAAATGCAAAGAAAATGAAGGAACCTTTTTCCACCTTTGGTGGACGTGCCCAAAGATCAAGGCCTTCTGGGAAATGATATATAATGAATTAAAAATGGTATTGAAATACACTTTTGTGAAGAAACCAGAGGCTTTCCTCTTGGGCATGGTCGGCCAATTGGTGCGAAGGGAAGACAGGAATTTTTTATGTATGCGACAGCAGCGGCAAGAATACTTATTGGGAAATACTGGAAGACACAAGAATTGCCTACCCGAGAAGAATGGCAGAGGAAAGTGATGGACTATATGGAACTGGCTGAGATGACCGGCAGAATTCGAGATCAGGAAGAAGGGTTGATGGAAGAAGACTGGAAAAAATTTAAAATATATCTTCAGAAACACTGTAATATAAAAGAATGTTAGAAAAAGGTTGGAGAAGAATACTAGACCGTATTGGCAGACAGGGTATAATGGAATAAGTAAATATGAAGTGTAAAATGAGGATAGAGGAGAATTAAATACTTTCGAATGTTAAAATAAGTAAAAGAAAAGAAGGTTAGAAGGATTTGCTGGAGATACGATTTAAACTAGAATACAAAGCAGGGAGGTGAGAGGAAGTCATGGAAACAAGTAAAAGGGAAAATGGTTGTAATGGTCTAATTTGATTTTTGTTACTTTCTACTGTGATTTTTTGTTTTTTTCATTTCTTTTTTACTGTCTGTTTTTTGTAAGATGTATGTGGTTTTTTTTTCTTCTATTTTTTTTGTAACTTTAAAATTGGAATAAATATTCTTTAAAAAAAAAAATAGAAGGGACCTCGAGGGTCATCTAGTCCAACCCCAGGCAATGCAGGAATCTTTTGCCCGACGTGGGGCCCGAACCCACAACCCTGAGGTTTAGAGTCACCTGCTCTGCCAGCTGAGTTATCCAAGAAGGAATGTTTATCATGGGTGAAACCAAAGGGCGAAAAACAGGGGCAAGGGACCTTTTCCAGGCTGAGGGCTGAATTTCCACTGGGGCAAACTGCCAGGGGGCCACATGGTGGTGGTGGGCGGAGCCAGAGGCAAAAGAGGGTGGAGCAATGGAGGTGAATTTTATCTTTGTTCACAGTAGGTTACTTTTCACACAGAAACTCATGTATCTCTCTCTCCCTCTGTCCTCCATCCAGGCAAGGAAGAGGCATGGTTAGAGTTCAGGGAGACCCGGCAAACACACACACACACTCAAGGAGGACACAAAGTAGAGTTGGTGAGAGACGTGGCCAGAGGAGAAGGATGTGGCCTGAGAGGAGTCTCACAGGCCAGACAGAGGGGCCATATCTGGACACAGCCTGGGTGTGGCGATCACACAGGGTCCTCGGATGTTTAACGGTCTATTGATCCCTGTGCCACCACTGTGCTCGCTTCCCCGCTGCCACCAACCAGTTACTCTCTGGTAAAACACAGTTGTTAAAAGTGAACCCCAAAAAACAAGTTTATTTTACAAACATTAACAAGTTTATGGTTTCTCAGATAATATTCCTGTCAGTATCTTAACTTTAGTTTCTTTACCAGCCTATACCTTCCTAATACATTCTGACTGATTATCTCAACTGTTTGACAGACTCCTCTTAACAAATTCTCTCACTCTCTCACACCAGACTAGCCCAACCCATGGACTTATCTTCCCTCTCTCGTCTAACTCCAGACTGTCTTCTCAACCACTCTAACTCTAACTCCTCTTAACAAATTCTCTCTGTGATTAAACCTTACACACAGTTAACTCTGCCCCCTGGGTTCCCATTGGTTATTCATTTTACAATTAGTTAACCTGTTCCCTATGAACCCAGTATGATGTCACACACATAGGAGGGCAAACGCCACACTGGGGTTCTCCATCTTTGGTATAAATGAAACTGAGATACTAAGAGGTACTAAGGCAGGCAAAGGCAAACTCGGCCCTCCAGATTTTTGGAGACTACAGTTCCCATCATCCCTGACCACTGGTCCTGCTAGCTAGGGATGATGGGAGTTGTAGTCCCAAAACAACTGGAGGGCCGAGTTTGCTTATGCCTGTACTAAAGAGGAGGAGGAGTGAGGAAAAGAGGAATCAGGGAGACCAGCGCCCATTAAAGATATTTTCCTTGATAACCTGGTCTCCCTATTTTTTTCTTATGCAAGGAGAAACAAAAGTCAAAGCTCCTCCACCCGCCTCACAAACCTGTCTGTGGAGAACCTATCTGGGCTTCCAATGTTATAAGCCCATGTAAAATGGCGTCATAAACCTAATGCCATGTTCTTTTCTTTTCTTTGCTGTGACTGTATTGTATCATTTCCCCCCCATAAAAATAAAAATAATAAAGGAACTGAGGCAACGGAGGACTGATTTTAGTTCAAAAATACATTTTCCCTTTCTCAGTGACAGGGCCGGCCCAAGACATTTGCCGCCTGAGGCAAAGATGGTGCCCTTCCACCATTTTCAGCACAGAAACCGACTGGGAACTGGCAGCGACAAATCTTACTTCAAGATTGCCAACAGGGCAGTGTCCTCCAACACCCCTGAGGGCAGCAGGTGGACTCTGTCCTGCAATTGAATGAATTAATCAATTTATTTTGCGCGCTGACCAGAATGCAGTCCTCCAATAGAGGGAAATGGCTGCTGGTTTCAATTTGGTTATTTAATTTCTTTCATAGAATCATAGAGTTGGAAGAGACCACAAGGGCCATCGAGTCCAACCCCCTGCCAAGCAGGAAACACCATCAGAGCACTCCTGACATATGGTTGTCAAGCCTCTGCTTAAAGACCTCCAAAGAAGGAGACTCCACCACACTCCTTGGCAGCAAATTCCACTGTCAAACAGCTCTTACTGTCAGGAAGTTCTTCCTAATGTTTAGGTGGAATCTTCTTTCTTGTAGTTTGGATCCATTGCTCCGTGTCCGCTTCTCTGGAGCAGCAGAAAACAACCTTTCTCCCTCCTCTATGTGACATCCTTTTATATATTTGAACATGGCTATCATATCACCCCTTAACCTCCTCTTCTCCAGGCTAAACATGCCCAGCTCCCTTAGCCGTTCCTCATAAGGCATCGTTTCCAGGCCTTTGACCATTTTGGTTGCCCTCCTCTGGACACGTTCCAGTTTGTCAGTGTCCTTCTTGAACTGTGGTGCCCAGAACTGGACACAGTACTCCAGGTGAGGTCTGACCAGAGCAGAATACAGTGGCACTATTACTTCCCTTGATCTAGATGCTATACTCCTATTGATGCAGCCCAGAATTGCATTGGCTTTTTAGCTGCCGCGTCACACTGTTGGCTCATGTCAAGTTTGTGGTCAACCAAGACTCCTAGATCCTTTTCACATGTACTGCTCTCAAGCCAGGTGTCACCCATCTTGTATTTGTGCCTCTCATTTTTTTTGCCCAAGTGCAATACTTTACATTTCTCCCTGTTAAAGTTCATCTTGTTTGTTTTGGCCCAGTTCTCTAATCTGTCAAGGTCGTTTTGAAGTGTGATCCTGTCCTCTGGGGTGTTAGCCACCCCTCCCAGTTTGGTGTCATCTGCAAATTTGATCAGGATGCCCTTGAGTCCATCATCCAAGTCGTTGATAAAGATGTTGAATAAGACTGGGCCCAAGACAGAACCCTGTGGCACCCCACTAGTCACTCTTCTCCAGGATGAAGAGGAACCATTGATGAGCACCCTTTGGGTTCGGTCAGTCAGCCAGTTACAAATCCACTGAGTGGTAGCATAGTCAAGACCGCATTTTACCAGCTTCTTTACAAGGATATCTTTACCGCTTAATATTATTAAAAAGGTGTACAAAAAACCGGAAGCAACCATAGACAGCTTAAACAAAATGCTACAAAAATACACATCTCAAAATGTTAAATTAATACCAAATTATTAATGTGTGCAAATCAGAAGAAAAGTAGCCAGAGTTATCAGTGGGGCAGGAGCATGGGCGTAGCCAGGATTTCTGTTGGGGGTGGGGCAGAACCGACGTGATTGGTCAGTTATTTAAGTATTTCTATTGTTTTACTTGATCTAGGGGACAGCAGCTGCCCCCCTTGGCTACGCCCATGGTCCTATCACATGTAAAATCTTTCTCTTTTTTTAAAGGCTGTATTTCTCCAGTAAGCCCTACTGAATTCAATTAGGCTTACTTCCGAGTAGACATGGTAAGGACAGTACTGGATAAGAGTGTAAGAGTGCTTCATGGAAGTGGTTGTTTGGTTGAAAGCTGCTTTGGGTTGTCTTGGGCAAGATAAAGTGACATTATTATTATTATTATTATTATTATTATTAACGCTGTAAGTTCAGTGGAGTGTCACTGTGTGTAACTGAGCACCTAGCTGATGCTTAAATGAGATTTGGGCTCTGACTTCTAATGTGCAATATGAATAGCAGATGGAGTTGCAGAGTTCCTGTGGGAGGCAGATGCTGGAATCAGCAGAACCAGAGACATGTCTTGCCCTGTGTTGAACCCAAGCTGGACTTTGGGTCTTCTCTTGAAACCTAGTGGAGAAGAAAGATCTAAGAGAAGACTCCCTGGAAAAGCCCCTGATGTTGGAAAAGATGGAGGGCACAAGGAGAAGGGGACAACAGAGGACGAGATGGTTGGGCAGTGTTCTCGAAGCTACCAGCATGAGTTTGACCAAACTGCGGGAGGCAGTGGAAGACAGGAGTGCCTGGCGTGCTCTGGTCCATGGGGTCACGAAGAGTCAGACACGACTAAACAACAAGAACCATTAACTTCAACAGGTCTGCTCTGTGACTCGCACTGGATAGAAGCCTAAAGTTTTAATGCAGACATGACAGTCTGTATTTTGTGTATCTCCTTTCCATCTGAGCTCACTGCTAGTATTTCCCCCCCCCCTTATACACCAGTGGAGGAAAAACCAGTACAAAAGAAACTAGCTGATTTAGCATAACACTCCATGCATCTGGTGAATTGAATCCAGGAAAACTTATTCCATAATTCGTTAGTCTTTAAGGTGCCACAAGAATATTTGTTTCTGCTGCAGCAGACTAAGAGGGCTATGCTTTTGGGAAAATGGTTAAAATACTCTGGGCGTGTCAAGTTATTCTGCTCATTCTTCCTTTATTTTCCCTTGCTCTTCTAGAACAGGTGGTGCTTTCTCTTTTTCAGATCTATATTATATTATTCTTATTCTTATTCTTATTCTTATTCTATACCACCCTATACAGGGCGGTTCGCAAAATAAAATCACAAGATAAAAGCATAAAATACATAATGAAATGCATAATAAAAACAAGAACAATCCAATAATCTCCTAAGTCCTTGGAAGAACCAGACAAGAGCCACGAAACAATAATAATAATAATAAGAAGAAGAAGAAGAAGAAGAAGAAGAAGAAGAAGAATATCGACTTTCCCATTTCTTTTGCATCAATACATACATCCTATAGAATAAACAGAGAAGCTGTTAACATTCACACTTTGTCTGCTCACGTTTCCTGACCTGCACTCTAAAATAAATTCATCTGACATCATAGATTTGATACTTGCAGCAGCAGCAGCGAGAGGTGTCTATCAGAACTTTGATTTACTGAACTTAAAATGTCCTGTTATCTCCCCTGCAGGGAACAAGTCATCCAGAAGGTGGTGCTGCTCCCCAACTGAGCAACAGGGAAGCCGAGGAGCAGGTGCGCTAAACCCTGCAGGGGTCCTTGGTGGCACTGCCTGGAACCCTTGGCAGATGGATTTCCCAGCCCCAGATCAGGGAAAGGGGCAAGTTCCAAAATGCCGCACCTGGGTCCCAGTTTGCCTAGTCCTCACGGGATCCCAGCTGCAGCACTGACGAATCTGCAAGTACCTGTAGAAATCAGCGATTCTCCACTGCGGAAGAACTCCCCGCACATTTTCCATGGCTTGAGTGGAAGAACCCTGTTTTTCCATTTCAGTCTCCCCATTTGAGAAGATACGTTCTCCCCTG